AGCAGTAAGTTTTCTTCATCAAACCTTTAGATCCGCTGCGCATAGGTTTATGTTGAATGTTTGTCTGTGATTTGTGCATATCGAGATCCTCGTGGGTTCCAACAGAGAGGCAGGTCTTTTGAGTTTGATATCAGATGAAGGTATTTCAGTTATCGACTTCAGAGTCAGGTTTTTTGATTTTTGACCTCAGAGGCAGGTCTTTTATTTTTCGACCTCAGACGCGGGTCTTTTGTTTTTCGATCTCAGTTTTGGATTAAGATTTTCGACCTCAATTTGGTTATCGACCTGGAAGTAGCGTCGAGTTATTCAGTACCCAATCTCAAACACAGGTATTTCTTCTTTCGACCTTAGAGCTAGGTCTTCTAGTATTCGACTTCGGATGTAGGCCCTTGGATGCTCGATCAGATGCAGATTTTTCAGTTTTCAATCTCAAACACTGGTCTTTCAGTTTTCAGTGCTCAATCTCAGAGACAGATCTCTTAGCATTTGACCTCAGTTTCGGTACTCGATCTGGGATGCATATCTTTTGGGTTTCGACTCCAGAAGCGGGTCACTCAATTTTTGATCTTATTGGTCATCCGGCTTCCGATGCTTGACCCCAGTGGCTGGTCACTTAACTTTCGACCTCTACAACCATTGGGCTTTCAGTGTTTGACTCCAGTGGCGAGTTGCTCTATTTTTCACTCTTGGAGCGAGATATGCTCACTCGACCAGAGTGGGGGAGGGGGACTAGATGATATAGCCACAGTTAGTACTGCCGGCTCGACCGGTAGTATTTGATATAGCATGTCATACCCGACCGGTTTTTATGGATATATATTGAAGAATACGCCTATACATGGGCTAAGACACTTGATATGATAATATGGGTCAGGCCCAACCTAGGACAAGCCCAACTTGGACTATAAGGTACACTCCCCCTATAAAAAGGGGGATAAGGCACTCATTTCATACATTCTCTACACACTCTCTCCCTACTCTCTCTCTCTCTCTATGCGTTCTCATATGAATCCAGTACTGACTTAAGCATCGGAGGCCCAAAGCCGGGCACCCCTCTCGGGGTCCCTGGCTTTGTGTTCTTGCAGGTACGGTGGCCGTCCGAGTCGAGGGAGCCTGGGTGACATCTTTGTCCTATCAGAGGGTTTACGAGAGATGAGAGTGAGGAGATAACGACGTGAAAAGTACTAAAGTGGAAGAGGGATAATATATATTTGTATTACTAGGGCATGGCAAAACTTTTCAATCAAGAAAACAAGGGAGGAGCCAGGCGCGGGCTCGGGCGTAGGTTCGGGGCGCTCGTGCCGGGTTCCATAAGGGTTCGACTATTAAAAAGCTCGATTGCTTATTTTGGAAATCGCACGCCGATCGGAAAATAATAATCACACAATAATATCACAGACACATAATTAAATGCATTAAAATAAATAAAACAAAATGCCATTAATTAAAATAAATACGAAAAATTCAATATTCGAATAGAGCATCACAACACCTAAGAAGATGAGGATTCTACCAAGCAAAGTTCAAGAGCTTTATGTAGAGTATTAGCCTTATCTGCTCCGTTGCTCTCAATATTTTTTTTTTCTTGAGGATGCATTAAGGAGATCCTTCTACACCTGCCCTTCTTGAGCCGACTGATTACTTGGTTGAGATCGCTGATAGCTAGAATGACTTATCTCCACCCAATGGTGCCCTTCCCCAACTCTCATCCACTCCCCAAATTGCCCCTCAGATATGACTTCTTTAGCTATATCCTCAGTCTTTTTCAACACCCTTCGTCGGAATGTCCTACCTTTCCACAATAGAAATAGACTCACCAACTTTTCATATTTAAAGGAAACATTTACCATTTGATCCCCAACCTGATTTTGGTACATCTAGGTGAGCTTCACCACCTTAATTGGTACCAACTAATTAATTATCTTCCCTCCGTGATTGCCTGCGCTTACCACCACCACGTTCTTCACCTTACTAAACCTATTTTAAGCCCCACCTCGGCACTAAGCCAGTTGAGGGGAACATTATGGATTCGCACCCACATATTCAATCCCTCAAACCTGGGTGATTGTTGTTCATCTCCTCTGGCCACTCTTGTAATATCAAGAATTGCAGTTACTACCAGCTGAGACCTTCTTCATGTCTTCCTGGTTCTAGAATATGAATTGCAAGAAACGGTAATTTGTAACCCAACTCCTTCACTTCTAGGACTGATGAATCCTCCAATATGTCCCATTGCCCTTTTTATACCAATCTAACTAGCTTTCATATCCACAATAATCTCACCGAACAAACTCCTCTTGCATTCCTCCACGTTTGCTATGTCATCTCCCCCAAGTCTATATTGGCATTTTCTTCCTCTGACAACAAGAAATTGCTCATTCGACGAACTACATCATCTTTCATTCTAAAAAATAGAGAAACCTCTAATCCAAAATCGTAACTACCCCAACTCTTCAAAGCGAATAGATTATAGATCCCTCCCGAATCTAGAAGACGAAACTCTTAGTCCACCAACTACAGTAACGATGACCTACTGGTAAAGGCCCTCAGACGAGAGAATGAACCGGCCGAGAGAATAAAATAAATTAATTATCTCTTTAATTATTAAAATTTAAATTGCATCTCAAATTATTACTTTATTTCAGTAAAAGAATTTCCTTGAACTTCAATAGTACACAGAAAAGAGATAAAGATAGACAATAGCAAACCCGATAGTATATACTATATACTACACACTCATTAGCTCTCATCAACATCGTCGTCTCTCTGGCTGTCCCTCGAGCGCTCGTCAGCAGTTATATTATTTGGATTTGCATTTGTTGCGGTAAAAGGGTGGGGAGAGACAGTGTTGAGAGCACGCCTATCTGAAGAACGGCCGCCTAAACAATCAAAACCCTAGATCCCAATTTTTATATATTATTGTCTTTTACTTATTTTTTTTCGTTTATTTTCCAAGTTGCTCGAGGATCGGAAAAAATGGTTGTCTCTGCACCTCAATCTCAGTCGCAGTCGCAGCCTCAGCCTCAGCCTCTCTCTGCGGAGGAAGAAGCGCTTAAGAGAAACACCGATTGCGTCTACTTTCTTGCTTCTCCTTTAACCTGCAAAAAGGTCCCTTTTCCATCTCCCTTCTGTTTCCGCATTCCATCGTTCTTTAGAAATGGACATATCATATGTTCTCGTGTTTGTAGGTTTGTTTTACGGTTATAATGCTTGATACAATTTATATGAATATGGAGGTTATGAATTGTAGTTTTGCTGTAATTATCTGCGGGATAGATCTTTATTGGCCATAGTTTTTTTTTTTTATTATTTATTTAATTTTTTGCTGAAGGCTTTTGGAGTTACTTGCCAATCTAGGGTTTTGCTTTCTTTTCTTGATTTTCATATTGTTTTTGACATTTAATTGGTGCTTAAATCATGATCTCATGTTACAGATATTCAGTTTCTGGTTATTGCGAGATTTACAGTATCCCTAGAAAGGCCAATGAACTTTTGATAGGGTAGTATCTTGTATTATTATTATTATTTTTTTTATAAACGAATTAATTGTAAAGGCGGTAAAGGGAGTGATAGTCAATCTAGTGAACGCCGTTTATGAAGGCTATATAATAGGGCTGGATAATGGAATATTTGAATAATTTCATTGATTTTGAAGATTCCAATTTGTATTATATTTGTGATACGCCATGAAGCCTTGTAAATAATGCTAAATGTGGTATCGACCTTGATCCTAGTGCCTCTATGCATGGTTCTGTGAGCTTGTCTTGCTTTAGTTGCCAGTGATTTTCAGCTTGTTGTCGTTGTTGGGGAATATTTCATGTTGCCATATGATTTCAAGCTTTTCTTTGTTTTGTTTGCCATTCTATTTATGCTCAATGTATCAGAAATTTATCCATGTGGTTAGTTATCATTTTAGGATGTGAATTTGCTGTATGAAATAAAATAATTGTATTTGCACCATATTTTCTGTTTGAGGTTGAACTACTTTGATTTAAATGTTGTTCTGGACATTCGAATCATTAGAAATAAATTCGATGGTGTTTAATGCTTTATGGAAACACATTACATTTTCAAGGACATGCCAACAACGTATCTTGGACATTCATGACATCTGGTTTCTCAATGGTACTCATATTTTTGGGTTTCTTCTTACAGGGAAGTGAGTGTGAGTATCGCCATAGTGATGTTGCACGGGTAAATCCAAGGGACTGTTATTTCTGGCTGCATGGTAACTGCTTAAACCCAAAGTGTGGTTTTCGGCATCCAGTGAGTTATTTAACCTACTTCGACTTGCACTTATTTTGTGCTGTTACATTTTGCATTCTTATTTCCACGATCTTCTATATTTTTGCATACCATTTATTGATGACGTCATTATATTATTGTTGTCTGATTCTTCAGCCACTCGACGGATTGCTGGGAACAGAAACGCCAATATCTATTGGGCCCTCTGAACCGGTGTCCCAAACTGCAGTGGCCTCTGCCCCAAGTGCCTCCACCAAACCAGGCGTGCCGTGCATATTTTTCCAAAAAGGGTACTGTCTAAAGGGCAACTGGTGTCCATTTATGCACATGCCTTATTCTTTGTGCAACAAACCCTTGCCGGTCCCAGTAGCTGCTACCAACCCCGTAAACAACAATAAGACTTTAAGCGGACCACCCGAGAAGCACATCCAGCAGAAAACAACCCCTCCAGCAAATGTTGCTGAACCTGTCAACAACAACCTGGCAGTGGCAAAGTCATTATTCCCAGCAGACTCAAATGAGTCGGCCATTACCAGGAGGGTGGGCACACAAAAAACTGGCGCGACTGAGCTGCATGGGTACAGGAACTCTACTCCCGTCTCAAATGGAAACTCGGACAACTGGCCCATTTACATTCAGCAATCTCGCCATCTAGATGAGCCCGAGCCCGAGCCCGAGCCTGAGCCTGAGCCCGAGCCCGAGACCGAGACCGATCCAGAGTATACTAACAGTAAGGACAATGACGAGATTTCAAGGGAGCCCTCTCCTGGTTTTGACGTCCTCGTGGATGATGATTTGAGAGATTCAGAATACTACCCCTGTGATGATAGATATGGGCTGTCGAGGGACCATGAGGACCAAAATGAGTATGATATTGGGCTCCAAAATGAGCACAGAACTATTGTTGGTTTGAATGATGAAGGTTATCCGGGCCATCCTGTCCGCTACGACTCGCACGACCTCCAAAGGGGGCAGTTCAATTATGAGCATCACTTGGCCCCATCTGAGCGGAGGTCGGGAAGGCCTCACGTGGAGCGGGGGGGCCTGCACGGAAGGCATGATGCTGTCGACCGGGTTGATGAGCTGGACCTAAGGCACCGTCTGACGAAGCACAAGAAGCCCAATGGACTTAGGTCTGTCATCAGTCATGGGAATGCGCGTAATTCGGACAGAGGTTACCGGGGACTGCGGAAGGAAAATCAGCGGGAAAATACGATCAGTAGCCGCCTTAGGGGGAGAATTGGTCTTCCTCAGAGATCACTTTCTCCGAAAAACAAGCACCGTGTCAGGCTATCTCCAGTAAGGGCAAATGTGTCTGCACATCGGGGAAGGGTGCGTGATGTTGTGAGAGGAATGGTGGACAAAGGCTTTAACATGGGTGGGAGGAATTACAGAAGTCCGTATGAGAGACGAGACGGTGCGGGCGAAGATGGTGTTAATTTTTCTGGTCCGAAAAGTCTTTCGGAATTGAAGAACCGGAAGAATGTTGTAATTGGGGGAAAGAGTAGACTCGATCAACAATCGCTCGGCAAGAGAAAGCACGCGCATCAGGAGAGCAAAAACGACCTGTCATTTGAGGGGCCCAAGCCTCTGGAGGAGATTCTCAAGCGCAAGAGGGGTGGGATGAGTCGGGACGCATCCAACAACTACCATATTCTCAAGAAGGATGAAATTAAGGAAGAGGGAAAGGATGTGACTGCCAATGATGAGGTTTACGAATCCGACATGGCAGCTCAGAAGGTAGAAGCGAAAGACGGGAAGACAGAAATAGATGGTCCACTAAATGATGGTGGGGATCAAGAGTTTGAAGAAGGGGGGTATGAGCCAGGGGAGGCGGAGTGGGATAATGAGCAGGCGGGGGGTGAGGATTACAACTTGTATGAAGGAGATAATGAGGAGTATGCGGATGAGGATGAAGACAATGATTTTGCAAAGAAAATGGGTGTGATGTACTCTTGAGGGTAAAAGGTCCTTTTGAGCGTGCTCTTGCTGCTAAACTTCGTTGCAGTTTTACCGGAATTCGTTCTCTGTTATCTAGGATTTCGCGTGCTCTACTAATTTTGATGTCAGGAAAAGTAGAGATATGGGTGGCCTTGTGTGTACCATTTTAGATTACTTTTTTTT